GTCGCCACAGCTCCTGTACCACCGCTGAGCGGCCGGGTCACCGGCTCGGCTCCTCAGCGAAAACCTGAATATGTGCTGCATCTGCTGCCTACTTATACTCACGCTGCGATCAGCAGCAGCTGGATGCAATAATCGCATGCCAATGTGCATTGGCTCGTTTAGTTTACACTCGAAGTAGATTGGTCCCTCTAAGCGAGATCCCAATTCGTCGGTCCTCCGACGTGACGTCTCTGTTCCCTCCTTCAGGGAACGAGGGTTACATACGTAACCGAGATGTTAAATTTCTTACTATGTGTAAGTAAGTAAGTTGTTTTTTAGCACGTAAGTTTGGCAGTGTTATTTTTTAGGATTACTGATAAACTACTGTCGTTTGATTTGTATTATTTGTATTTGTTATTTATTTTAATTTGAGTTAAATTATGTCTGAATTTATTATGTCTGTATAGGTCTTTTATTAAGTTTTAGTTTTATTTAATTTATTATTTATTATTATTTATTTATTTAAGTTATTTTACTGCTTCAACAAACTAAATGGAAATTAAATAATATATATATTGAATTTATAAATGTGTATGTATATATATACACATATGTGTGTATGGTTGTACATACACATATATGTAGTTGTTTTTTTGGTGTTTGGCTTAGTGTTATGTTAGAATCATTATTATACTCTTAGTCTTATACCTTTTGTTCTTTAATATTTTTAATTGTTTTTAGCTTTATTTTTTGTTTTTCATTTAAATGTTAAGTTTTGAAATTTTGTTGTATGCATTTGTCATTTTTATTTAATTAATTAATTTTTTTAAATTTGTATAAGTAGTGTTTATAAAGTTTTAGCTTTTAGTTTTGGATGTGTTTTTAGTTGTTTTAATACTATAATTGATTGCTTCTGTTGTCCTCATTTGTAAGTCACTTTGGATAAAAGTGTCTGCTAAATGACTAAATAAATAAATAAAAATCAAATCTAACTAGGGTTGTCAACCGTTCCGTATTATATGGAATTGTTCTGAATTTAAGGCATCAAAGTGTTCCGTATGAAAGCCATACAGAATGCACATACACACAAAACGCGAGTTTTGGGCAGTAGAGTAGCACTTGTTGTTTGTCATTTCTCCGATCACAAATGCAGACAGAGTTTTATGTTTACGTGGCGCGATGCAATGCAACGCAACGCAACGCGTAAAAAGACAGTATAAGTCATTATAATCAGTAATTATGTCCCCACTGGATGCAACAAATGCCTCGTTTGTAATGGGTTTTAATGTTTGTCTCGTCGCTCCGGCTGGGACACGGCATCAACAGTATGTGAGGGGCGTAACATTTCCGTCTCACGCTTCAGGAATTCGGCCAATCACAACGCATTGGATAGCTGGCCAATCACAGCACACCTCGCTTTTTCACACCGATGAGCTTTGTAAAAATCGATGCGTTTCAAAAAGGCGGGGCATAGAGGTGAAACAATAATGTACAGTATGTGGAAAATAATGTGTTTTTTTTACTTTAAACCGCATTAACACATTTCATTACACCAAATACACAAAATAATGTTATTTTTAGCAGCATCATATGACCCCTTTAATTTAAACAGTATACATGCCCAAAAATAATAGGAATTATTATATTTTCATGTGATAACATTTTAATAGATTAGCTAAATTGTTAGTTTTATGAATTAATTTGATTAATACCACAGTTTTTGACAATACATTTGTATTTGACATTACATTGTTTTTATATGTACTCATGACAGTAAAATAAGCCAATATAAACCTATATATAGATCCATTTAATGAAAAAAACAAAAACAAACAAAAAAAAACATTTAAATTTGTGACCCTGGACCACAAAACCAGTCTTAAGTCGCTTGGGTATATTTGTAGCAATAGCCAAAAAAAAACATTGTATGGGTCAAAATTATCAAAAATCATTAGGATATGAAGTAAAGATCATGTTCCATGAAGATATTTTGTTAAATTCTTACCGTAAATATATCAAAACTTAATTTTTGATTACTAATATGCATTGCTAAGAACTTCATTTGGACAACTTTAAAGGCGATTTTCTCAGTATTTTGGTTTTTTTGCACCCTCAGATTTCAGATTTTCAGATAGTTGTATCTCGGCCAAATATTGTCCTATCCTAACATAACTAACCATACATCAATGGAAAGCTTATTTATTCAGCTTTCAGATGATGTGTTAATCTCAATTTAAAAAAACTGACCCTTATGACTGGTTTTGTGGTACAGGGTCACATTTAAATTGTAGCTTAAATTCTGCAAAACTTTTGTTGTTGTTGTTGTTGTTGTTCTACAGGAAAAGAAAACTCACTTGCTTTAAATGCCATAAGGGTGAGAAGATGAAAGTTATTATAGCTTTAAAGTGCTAAAAACAAGTCTGAAGCAGTGCATTGCATTTCAGTTTTGAGAAGACATGCACACTTTGATGAAATGTGAGAATGCTATAGCAGCAATGTAGGCTGCACAGCACTTTTTCATTAGAAATGTTTCTAGTTTGAATTGTCTTTGAATGTCCTTCAGTAGGTAATTGACCATTCAGTGCTACTAATATCTCCCAGAGAACAGCTGCTTCCCTGAATCATTAAACAACACTCTAGCATCCTTAAAAAATGCTAGGTACAGGTTTTTTTTTCTTTCTTTTTTTTTTTTAACTAACAATGTAACCATTAATTGATAAAAACAGTAAGACTATTTCAATTGCCATATTCATCCAAAAGAAAATATGGCAAATATGGTACAGTACATTGTTTATCACTGTAGTTTTGGAATTACTTGAAACCAAAGGACTCACTGAAATTATTAATGTAAACTAATATTTCATATCTAAGCCAAACAGACTATGGAGTGCTGATAGCAATATTCTCTCCTTTACCTGCACAGGAGATTTGAAAATGATCAAAATGTTAATTACCTCTCATGCTGCCGCTTTAACAAAATGTACTCAATGAAAATCTGATATTTATACAGAAGATACGGGATTT